ATTCCGAAATGTAGTAGACTTCTCTAATCTGAACAACGCCGATTTCTCTTCGCGAAGTTCTCGTGTTCCCGGACCCGGTAGAGGATCCGAAGTCAAGCTTCCCGTTTCCAGGGGAAAATACGACGGCAGAAGGTGTATCCGCTGCGTCGGTGGCAAGGCGAACGGTAATCGCGTAACGATAGCCGGTTACATCGTGTACAGAGCCGATGGCCGACGTAACCGAGCGGGTAATAGCCCGGTCGCCGGTTTACGAACGCTGCCGGCCGATATTTTCGCCGGTCTTACGTTGGCTGCAGCGCCTCGGAGAAACCGGTTGCCGACGTCGCGGAGGGCCTTGTGTAATTGCGCGCCGCGATTGTCGTCGTTATCGGGCCCGCCTAATCGCCGGGACCCGGGAACGATTTTAGAATCCGGCCCTAATCGCGCGATAAACGGCCCGGTCCCGCGTTCCTAGGCGGGTACCGCAGCTCGCGAATGATATACTACCCGACCAGTCGGAGAGAACTACCCGGACGTGTAGCGGCTGCGATGCTTGCGAGCTGGAATTACGCGAGTTACGAGGAAGCAAGCGATGCGTCTCCTTCCTGGACACCTGCTGCAACTTCGCCGTGCCGCTAGCTTCCGACAAAAGGAAATTCTTCACCTCGATAACCCATTTCGCGATTAATATTTTCCATCGATCGTTTACGGATTCGACTCGTGGATACGCAACATCGAGATAAACTCGCGAAGAATACGAAGAAAATGTTTCAACCATTTGCGCTCAAAAACTATTTCAATTCGAATTCCAGAACGTGTTTTTTAACTTGTAGTATTTCTAGTTTATACGGTTTATCGCGCTTGTGAAATTGAAGCTATTAGAACATACAATGCTTGCGCTTCTAACAGTTTGTTTGAAATATATATAAATTTGATAGTGTCAAGATTATTTTGAAATATGGTATAGCAATTTTTAATGGCGCTTCAGCGGGTTAAGTATGAAGAGAACTATATTTTTTTTTATATGGGAACAAAATCTTGGTATTCTGATCTCGAAAATTCATGCAAAACTAGGATAGCTTGTTTCATCGATGTGCGAACATGAAAGGCGAAATTTATTACAACTGCTATTGAACACTCCTTCGCAAAGCTTGATTTATATATCTATAGATATCCATTTTTATTAATTGTAAGATCTATATATCAAGCTATATCTATATATATTATAGATATAGCTTGAAATATAGATCTTACAATATATATAGCTTGATATATAGATCTTACAATTAATAAAAATGGATATCTGAGATTCACCGAAAGATTGCCCCACCCATACACATTTGATGTAGCAGAGTGTTAAAAATGAACCTTTTGTCTACGATAGGTTGCTCACATAATATAATACTTCGATCGCAACCTATAGTATAATCGACGTTCATTTTTCAGATTCACGATGAAATGGTCGAAACACTAAACCGTATTGCATAAGTTCGTCAACACTAATCCTATCGAATACTAAAAATGATAGACGCGAGTTGCTTTATAAGAACGACAAGACTGAAACTATTTAACCCTTTTAATGCCAGAGCCGATATATCGGCCCGCACCTTGTAGCGTTATAAATAAATAAATACGTTACAAATAGACTAATTTCATTGCGAGAGAAAAAATTAGCGTCACCATTTCATTCTCTATTTCGTCCTTAATACACTGCTTTTTCAATTATGTAAATATTGCTTTTCGTTTGGTTTTTATGAGCCTTCTTCAAAATCCTAGTAAAATCGTAAAATTCGGCCGGTTATATTCGCATAAGCGCCTCTTTTTCGCCCGGCACTAAATGGGTTAAACTTTTCTCTATTTTTATGACACTGCTTGATTCAAGTAAGAAATTGATTCATTCATTCCCTATGAAAGAATTTTAACAAGTTTAAAACAAAAGATGTATAGCCGGTCATTTTAACCGGCACGGTCGGTCTAGTGTTGATAATAATAATTATTATTACTTCCGATAAAAATTGCCGATCGCTTATGACTGCCAAAAATTGACTTAAACTTGCGCCAACAGTCGTCAGAAGCAAATTTTCAAAGCGCCACAGTAGCCTAGGTGTTAAATTAATTGTAAGAAACACGATTCGAATGTAAATGTTTTCCTTCGCCTGCTTCGAAAGATCTCGCGGTTTAGATTCATGCATTCCGACAGAAAAATCCACGTAAGAAGCGCGGGACANTAAATACGTTACAAATAGACTAATTTCATTGCGAGAGAAAAAATTAGCGTCACCATTTCATTCTCTATTTCGTCCTTAATACACTGCTTTTTCAATTATGTAAATATTGCTTTTCGTTTGGTTTTTATGAGCCTTCTTCAAAATCCTAGTAAAATCGTAAAATTCGGCCGGTTATATTCGCATAAGCGCCTCTTTTTCGCCCGGCACTAAATGGGTTAAACTTTTCTCTATTTTTATGACACTGCTTGATTCAAGTAAGAAATTGATTCATTCATTCCCTATGAAAGAATTTTAACAAGTTTAAAACAAAAGATGTATAGCCGGTCATTTTAACCGGCACGGTCGGTCTAGTGTTGATAATAATAATTATTATTACTTCCGATAAAAATTGCCGATCGCTTATGACTGCCAAAAATTGACTTAAACTTGCGCCAACAGTCGTCAGAAGCAAATTTTCAAAGCGCCACAGTAGCCTAGGTGTTAAATTAATTGTAAGAAACACGATTCGAATGTAAATGTTTTCCTTCGCCTGCTTCGAAAGATCTCGCGGTTTAGATTCATGCATTCCGACAGAAAAATCCACGTAAGAAGCGCGGGACAACGAGACCGGTTGCAATCGGCTCGAGCCCACCGCACCTAATCAAGATCCCCGCACCTAATCGCCCCTCCTGGAACAATGCTACTCCCGCGCAAGCTCGCTCTCCGCATCGTTACCACCCTCGAAAACACCATTGATCCTCGCTCGACACACCTTCGAGGTGCACCGTATGCGTGCCACGCATCCGACGCACCTTCCCCTTCGCCGTGACGGGGTAGGAAGTAACATGGCGGCACGTAGGCTAAGACGATTTCCATCTCTTTGTTGCAGGATTAAGCCGTGGCGCGAACGACTGTCCCACGACCGGACTGTAAATACTCGCTCCTGAGAGGTCCTGGGATTTATTAGCGTCGCCTCGGGAGGACCAGGGAGAGGGGCAGACGAGAGTGTGGCAAAGAGGGAGAGAGATGCAGCTAGATGAGGACGAGGGAGGGAGAGAGAGAGAGAGCCAGCTAGATGGTAAAAAGAAAGAGAGGGGAAAAGTGAGAGGAGGAATGGAAGTCGACTTGAGGAGTGCCGTGAAAAAGCCGAATGGAGGACGAACGGGGAGGAGGGAGCAGAATCATCGGGGGTTCCACGGGATACATAAATCGCGTCTGGCCGCAAGGTGCGACTGCGAGGGAGGAGCGCGGGGAGGCCGCGAGCGGCGGAGAGCTTAGAGGAGATTTAGGAATTAGGGGAATTACGTCCGAGTGCCTGCTTACGCGCGAGTCGTAAGGCGAAGACTCTGGGAGAGGAAGCAGACGTGCACCGAATCGCGTCTCAGACTCCGGGATTCGAGAGTTTCCACCCCCGCTGGCTGGCTTCCCCGCCTCGCCCATTCCCCTCGGACCCCTCGACCCGCGTCCCACAAGTTCGAGGAGCTTATTAGTCAATCGAGATTCCGTCGACGACTGGTCTTCGGGCTGTACATAGAGAGGTAGACTCGTATACGAGGCCCAAGGATCGTTCGAGCTCCGATCGATCCTTGTTTTGTACATACCTTCGAGGGGTTGGATCCCGAGGTTCCAACCCGAATGGCTGTCCCCGGACAGGTGCGAGCCCCTCGCGACTTCCGGGGCGCCGGAAACCATGGGCAACGTGCAAACTGGTAGCTATCGCAGGATCCTGTTCCTTTGATCCTCGAGGTCGAGAGTGCGACTCGGATTGGGGACGACGAAAAGACACTCTACCCTAGCACTGATCGTACCGATGGACAGGCCCCCCGATCCTGGGGGTTTTCATCGTTCGCCGAGCTATTATATCGTCTGCTTCTCGAAAGGAGAGACCAGAGATTCGCTGACGATACGTGTCTCTGCTGCTGCTGTTTGTGGTTCGTCGGATCAGACGAGTCAGTAAGTACAACCATTCGACAGGGAATAATTACACGATAGTACACCGTAAACAAATTTCGATCGGTTAACTCTTTCATCGAACTGAAATAAGTCGAACACATTCGCTGTGAAATGCAACGAAAAACGTGTTACAAATTATAAAATAATTGCGATCTCCGCTAAATCGAAAGTAATAAACATTGAAGAAGTACATCTGTTTTAATACCCGTCTAATTTCCTCGACAGTTGAACCTTTCGCGACACAAGCAAAAGTGTACGAGTTAAAATTATCAGCGTGTAAGATCGGCTATTGAATTTTTGACGCGCGGTTCGTCTCGCAAGACATTATAAAATGTACGTAACACAGTTTAGGAATACTCAACAGGAAGACAGGCGATTACCGGTGGCAGAAGAGAATATTCTATCGCAGATGCGAACGTCGAAGTGTTAACAACCGATAGCCGCATCTTTCGTCTTATTTCTCATTGTATTGACTCGTCTGATTCGGCGAACAGGTCTCTTCCATCGAGAAACAGGATATAATGACTTCTAGAGGGACGCCAGGGTAGTTCGTCAACCACCACGAAGCAACCCTGTGTCGATCCAAAATGGAGGAGAACGTGGACGGAGAATCGAAGTCTAAAGGGAGTCGTTTCACTGTTCACACGGAGGCGTTTGCGGTAAACTAATTAAGAATAAAATTCGTCCTTTTTCGCGCGGGTGGCTGGCGCTCGCGAGTCGCGGAGCACTTCCGATTCCTTTGGAACACGGGGACTCGTCTACGAGACGCGCGGTCCGATTAGCGTACTTTAACCCTCGTTACTTTCAATCTTCTCTGTGCAATATACTGTTTAGACTCGCGTGTCCTTGCTGTCGGGGATT